CCGTTGTCCGTATGTAGCCGGTCGATGTCGCGTTGAAACTTGTTTCGGAACCATCGAGTGTATTGTCAGATGGCCTCTGCTGCTTGCTCCTTTGTCTTAAGGAAGTACACTCGTCGGAAACGACTGAAGTCGTCTGTCAGGCACATGAAGTGATTGAAGCCGGTCAGAGATCGTTGGGCTGGCGAGCATAGGTCGCCATGGATGAATCCTGTTCTTTTCGCTCTGCAGTCCGCAGGTTTGGTTCGGTAGGTGCTCCGATGCTGTTTTCCTTGTTGACATGATTCACAGTTGAAGAAGTCATCTTCGTATTCGATTCCTTCACGGTCCAGGTTTTCCTTGATTTTTCGTTTATTTAAGTGCGCTAGAGTCGCTAGAGCGTCGTGAGCGGCTTTCAGGCTTACCATGGCCTTGGTACTATAGCTTACAGTCTGCAGACATTTTGGCTCACTTTTGTCGATGTTGAGGACGTATAGTCCTTCCTTACATTCGGCTATCGCTCTTCCTTGACCGGTGGAGATGAGGGTCCTCTCAGGGTTCATCGTGACTTTGTAGCCACCTTCCGTCAACTTGCTGACGGAGATAAGGTCCGTATTCATTTCCGGAACATATAAGGCGTCACAGAGTTTGATGTTTGATGATCACACACCTGTTTCCTCGGTGAACAGACAGCAAGGCGTCACCATACCCTTGTGCCGTCAGGGTATCGTTATTGCCAAGTCTGACTTCTCGAGACGTCATCGTGGAGTTCAGTTTGGTGAAGAAACTCTGGTCGTTAAGCACGTGATGAGAGCTGCCGGAGTCGACAACAAATTGCACCTGTGTGGTTTTTGCACTCCCCTCTTCTTCAGTTGAGTCTCCATTTGTGAGGATGACTTTGGCCACGTGCGCCTCCGGTTTACCTTTGGTTTTTCGCGGAGGAATTTTCTTAGTACAGAACCTTGAGGAATGTCCTACTCCATTACATGTCCAACAGCGTAACTCCGTGGTGCGGGAGTAAGACTGCATTTTCCTTGTGTTCGTATTCTGTCGCTGGTATTGTTGCCTCATGGGTCGACGTCTTCTTTTGGTAAGATTTGTCCTCGCCATGAGCACAGTTACATCGTTGATGTCACCGCTCTTCGTTTTTCAGTACGAGCGGCCTCGCTCCTGATGAGGCTGAGTAGAGTCTCTAGGGTTTTGTCTTCGGAGGATCTAGTGGTCCAAGCTTGCTTAAATGAGGACCACGAGCTTGGCGAGGCACTCAACATCTTGGAGATCAAAACTTGTGAGTCCAATACCAAGCCGACCTCAACGAGTCCGTAGGTTGACCTCTGGTACCTCATGATGTTCTCGGTGACGCTTTGAGCCTCATAGTACTCGTAGTTGAGCCATACATCGAGAGCCTGCTCCTTGAAGATTCCATCGTTGCGATTGAAATGTTTCTTGATAGTTTCCCACATAATTACAGCACTCACGGTGGCTGATTCTCCGTAGAACAATTCGAGGATGATATTCGGATGAACGATGTTAAAGAAGACGGTCCTTGCGTTGCGATTTCCTGTATCATACTTTGCAAGTATAGCTGGATCCTTGTCCGGCTTGATCTCTTCGTTTACTACCTGCCACGCGTAGGTTTCCGCTTGGAGGAGTCCGGGAGCCAATGTTTTCCAAGTCAGGTAGTTTTTGCCATCCTCCCGGAGGACCATGGCAGGTTCGAAGCGGATCTTCGGAGTATCGCTTCCATCGACGTTCAGCGTGATCGCGGTATCGCGCTGCATCATTCCAGAGTATTACAGACCTCTCGACTCACCTCGGTGATGATAAACTCGACTGTGGAGTTCACTCGTGCTGATAACGAATGTTAGGAATCCGGGAGGATCCTGAGCATAGGCTCACTGAGAAGGGTACTCAGTCGGCAGGAGTCCACTGTTTGCAGTTTAGAGTTTGTTTCGGCACAACGTTCTGATGATCTCCGAGAGTCGAGGGCTGGCAGGGAAGATACTCAGGAATGAGGACGCAAGGGATGCGTGTGACAGAAGAATCTGTGTTTGATGTTTATTTGAATGCTGCTTATATACCGTCTGGACTCCATAGGCCAGTACAGTGAAAAAAAGAGGAGTTCCCCAGAAAAAGGTGATCAGCCTTTTTCTGTGACAATCGATCAGAGTTTTTGGCTCGTATACTGAAGTGTCATAAACACTGACTTCTGAAAACTTTTAAGACAGTAATGGGAACGCCTTTGTTTACAGAAGAAAAGGCAATTTCCTAACAGAACTCAGTGGACCGGGACGCGAGCTCCTTTCTATTTCAACACCCAGGTCACAATTCCTGTTTCACGCTGATGAGTTTCCCAAATCCTCCCGGATTTGAGAAGAGGCTCAGAGAGCCGCCGGTGATATTACCGTGTGGTCCGAGAATCCTATCTGACCGTGGTGGCTTCGAAAGCTCGAGAGCTCCCTGCCACAGTGAGAACGGAGACGAAAAATAACTTGGCGAGATACAAGCAATCTTGAATGAATTCACAGCTACGCTCGACTTCCTCCTTCATGAATCCAAGAATAACTCATCGATCGAGTCCAGAGGAGCGAATGAAAAAGACGAAAGTGATATACCCCTCGACTTCATTTTCGACGTCTGGGGGCGTCGGTGACTGATGCCTAAGGGCCGTAATCGCCGATCTCATGCTTGTCACGAGCTCCGGAGAACCAACTACCGCGATACGGTCTTCAGAGCCACCGGTGAACGTATGTCAGATCATCGGTTCAGGAGCTCTCACAAACTCCGTATTGCTCGTGGATTACCCGATGACGCGCCGGAGTACATCTCTCGAGCGGCGGCGACAAAAAGTCGAATCAGAACCCTGGGCTTCGGAGGACATCAATGTTGAGTGTTCTCGAGATCTAGGCCCTCAAACCGAACCTCTCGAGTTCTCTTGTAGGTTCTGACGATCACGTAGACATTTGCAGAGGTAGCGATGGAATCTCGAAAATCTCATTCCGCCCTGGATAGCAGAAGCTGTGATAGCAGAAGAAATTCTTCGCGTTGAGATCAATGAATCCCTATGAGCCACGACAGAGAGCGACGATCGATTCGAAGTCTTCATATGTTCACCCTTATCCTCGAGAATTCATGGAACTCTGCGCGGTAATCATCAGCGTTCGATTCCCAGTTTGCGGATCTAGCTCAGAATCTTCGTAGGCGCGAGCGTACCGTGGAGTCGGTCTCTCTACGAACGTCGAAAAGTATGCGAATGGCCATGAAATACAGAAAGCACATGGAAGCGCTGAAACAAGGTTGAAAAAGAAATCTCTCCCGAATCCCGAAATTACGTCCTCAGAGCCTCCTGCTGGATCGTGCCGTTCTGCTGACGGGATCGGAATCTTCTTGATTGAGATCGATTCCCTCCGTGATCAGGGGAATCGGATAAAGTAGGCATCAGGGCATCAGAGAGCGGACGAGTTTCATCTTGGGAGGATCCCAGTTGAGGTCTGAAAGGGCAAAGCCGACGCTGTCCTCGAATCGCTACCGACTGGCAGAAGCCTCGCTGTTCAAGAGAAACGTCTCATACGAATACCCCATAAACATAGTAAATTATAATTTCGTGAGGCGTTTTCATATACCAGCGAGGCCTCTGTCAGTCGGTAGCGATTCGAGGACAGCGTCGGCATTGCCCTTTTAGACCTCAACTGAGATATAATATGACATAATTATGAATAATGATTCATATTCCCGCGAGAACGCAATTCCCGAAAAATCGTGGTCGGGAGCGGTAGAGCGATCAGAACCCCAATCCGTGATCGCACGAAGCTTTCATGGGTAGTATTGATGTCACGCAGACTCCCCTCGGAAGCTGGCTACGGAATGAACAACTTTTGAATGTGGCTCACTTTCGAATGCCGAATCGCGGGAAGTGATTGCAGCGGCGGTCCAGTTCGAGCAACGACGGTTGCGGACCAACAGAGGCAGCGATTGGGGAGGTTTTGTGAGCACTCCACCAGCAGGCCAGCTCCTCACCATCTTAATTCATAGGGTTGGGCCCTGAGATTGGGAAACCTGTTGCGTACAATCGCCGCCGATCGAGGGCGCGCTTACGCGTCAGACGTCCTCGGCAACCTTTATCTGGGACAACCTCATGTTTCCGAGCTCCACATTGAGTTCCCACCCTCGAATGACAGCGAGAGCCTTCCTGACCGGCGACGGTCAGGCTGGAAGTGAGGAATCCTAAACCAGCGCTCCGTTTCTCCGTTTTCCCGTCTCCCCGCTTTCCCGCTTTCCCGTTTCCCCGCTCTCCCGTTTCCCCGCTCTCCCGTTTCCCCGCTTTCCCGTTCCCCCGTTTCCCCGTTCCCCCGTTTCCCCGCTTTCCCGTTTCCCCGCTTTCGCGTTTCCCCACTTTCCCGTCTCCCCACTTTCCCGTTTCCCCACTTTCCCGTCTCCCCACTTTCCCGTCTCCCCACTTTCCCGTTCTCCCAATTTCCCGTTTCCCCAATTTCCCGTTTCCCCACGTTCCCGTACCCTCGCTTCTATTCCATACTAGCGTACCCTGCCGCGCTTCGCTGCGGCTCGATGCCCATATGACATAGGGTTACATGCTGGCGCGTTGAGGTCTTATGTCTATGATCCATTTTTAATAAATCCATTTCGAATTGTGATTTCGGGCCTGAATCATGTTGTGGGTGGCTCGGTTTGTTGTTGCGATTGGACGGTATTTTAATTCTGATATGTGATACTAGCGTTTTTCCCTCCGTGTTTCCATCCAATACTCCCATGTCATGAGTACCATGTTTCGTTTCGATGTTTGAATCGATCCGTTTTACCTTCGTCAAATAATCACGCTACTTCTTGTTTCAGGGATGTTCTTTCCTCACTGACGTTTATTTTGTGAATGGTTTTGTGAATGATGGCGTTCAGTGGGCCTTTTTATAACTTCGTTGAAAAGCTTTTCACGTACAAAATTGAGCCTGATTATCCCTTCTCGGGACGATCGTTTTCGTCAGACTGACTGTGGCAATGTGGCCTGTTCGCGAACATCGTTATGTCATGCGTTTGACATCGATTTTCGGGTATATCGATCTTGGTTCACCCTTTGATTCTGAACGTTACCGCTCTCTTAGCTGATTTACGTTCTCTTCCGTTTCGATTCCAGGTTTTAGCCGTTTCTTTTTGAGCACTTGCTGTCGTCGCGTGTTTGCTGATTTCAAGCTCGGGACGATCCTTTTCGTCAAACTGATTGTGGCAATCGGGCCTGTTCGCTATCATCGTTATGTCATGCTTTTGACATCGATCTTTGGGTATATTCATCTTGGTTCACCCTTTGATCCTGAACGTTACCGCTCTCTCGGCTGATTTACGTTCTCTTCCGTTTCGATTCCAGGACTTAGCCGTTCCTTTTTAAGCACTCGCTGTCGTCGCTGGTTTGCTGATTTCAAGCTCGTGAAATTCTTGGTATTGTCCGTCGCGTGTTCACCATGTTTCGAGCCTTCTCAGATCGTCGTCGTTTGGCTCGGTTCTGAGTATTGTACTGTCCGTTGTAGTTAGTACTCTTTTTCCAGCGTATTCTCGCACCAGAAGGTTCGTGATTGCTACCCCCTTTCCTTCGGTGCCCGTGAAGTTTTGAGCGTTGTTCCATACTCCTAGGTTCACAACGCGCAATGTATCGTCCACGAATCGAATATTCTGCTTGATCCGCATCACACCATCTCTACATGAAAGATTTTGGGGTTGCCCAACCTCGTAAACAATGCCGATTATGTCGATGAAGACATTAATTTCTGAGGCCAGTATTTCGACGATGGAGATGTTGTTAATTTTCGACCTTGGTGAATTCTTCCCCTGGATTCGTTTGACTTGAGTTAACTGTAAGATTTTAAACCTCTTTGAAGTGGGGTGCGATCGGTCCTAGCTCTTCTCTTCATATGTCATATGATTGTCTTTGTAATTTTGACCTTTTCTTACCTTCGTGAAATGGATATCCCAAGGATGTTTCGTCTTGTTATAAAGAGGATTGCTTTCGTGGAGCGTAAACGCGTTGAATCGGTAGCAGTCTCCGACATCTATGTCCTCATGTAGTGCGTCGCACCGTTCTCCGGACGCAACCACTTGTATACAACCTGATGTATCTTCAATGACGAACGAGAAGAGCTTTCCGTCCCTGTCATTCTTCTTCCAATTTTTCATGTTCGATTTCGAAACTACTCTTCCGTGGACAATACCACCGAGTTTGCTGATCTCGAGGTTTTTCAGAAGCTTGGCTTTCTTCGCGGCTGGTGCGGCCTTGTTTTCCGAATCTAAATTCAATTATTGGGGGCTTCATTTGCGTATATAAATGTTCTTTTCGGGTGATTCCGATCTAGGTCCCACACGAATGGAAAATTCGGCGGGGTTCTTATCGTGCTTACCACGTTTTTTCAGCGCTCGTGATAGTGATGCGCTATCACATTCCTTGAGTGTTGTCGCGCGTTCACTGATGAGGCTTGAAGCGGGGCTCCCGTCTCGTTGACTCATCGCGTTTGGCGGTGAATGTTCGTCATTGAACATTGTTGCGATGAAGTCTTCTTCAGACATTTTCTGAATCGTTATCCGGATCGGCTCAGAACAATTTTCGACGTTCACGCTTAACCATCGCGTACTTTACGACGTTTTACTAACCAAGTCTTTCTCGCGTGCACGTTGTATGTGATTCCACTTAGAGCGCTTCGATCGAGTAACGGTAACGGTGTTCGTTGGAGCAAACGATCTCATCTTCAAAATCAACTTTCTTCTTCTCTTGCTAAAGTTCACCCATGCGCGCGCCATTCGAATCGAGTGCAATGACAATGGCGCGACACAGTGCTTCAAACTTGTCCGCATTAACGCGCGGAACAATTCGATTCTGTCGCTTTTCGAGATTCGCTGGATGATCGTTCTCCACCGGGTTCACGCGCTATCTCCGATCTGAAAATGCCATAATTGCAGCAGTCTCGTCGCTTCGTTCCATGTTTGATATTATGATTCTTTTCCATCGATATTCTCTGTTTGCTCTTTCCGTTGTCGTTGCTGGTTTGATCTTGATTCATTCGAGTTTGATACCGTGTTTGTGACGTTTCTTTGTTACTTGTTTTTGTCCAATTTGATGTCATTGCTCGGTTTCACTTCGGTTCTTTATATCTTGCCATTTTGTTCATGATTTCTCCATCAAAGATTCTAAGGTTCCAAGATCCTTTCTCATCATATTATCCGAGAACCTGCGGATAGACGATGTTTCTCGTCGTAGTATCTGGTGCATACACGTACGATGGGCTACCGACGCGTGAACATGCTACGTATAGTTGCCCGTGCGAAAAGCATGGATTCTTCAAGTTCAGGCCGCATACTTTCAAGGATTGACCTTGTGCTTTGTTGATTGTCATTGCAAAGGCGAGACGTATTGGGAATTGCAAGCGTTCAAATTCGAACGGCATGTCGGTCTATATGATTGGGATACGCGGCAGGTATACTATTTCTCCTTCGAATTTCCCGCATAAAATCATGGCTCTGATGACATTCTTCATTAAACTCATTATTACGTAGCTGTTCGCGCGCGGTCGATGTTGATGCCGTGAGCCTGATGTCGGTTCCGAATTCACGATTGTTTTTGTCGTCAAGGCGTGCAGCGTGCATCTTCGTTCATGTTGTCGTAAACCGATGCAAAATGTGCGCGTATCATGCGGCACAATAACATGCTCGCATTGTCCGCGTCGCATCCATGTTCACGGGAGCGACGGGTTCCAATCGACAAACTTGTCCGGATCGAGATGGCTCGGTCTTTGATTGGTTTCATTTAAGGTAGCTCATTATTTCCACATTAGTTGCTCAAATACTGCGTTATCTTTTGTCTCTTATTTTTTGTACATTAATTCTTCCTCATAGCGTGTTTTCGTTGCACATAGTTTTGTCTCTGATCGCTTGCAAGTTCTACCGACTGCTATCGGAATCTCTTTCTTGTGCCTAATTCTAATGATTAACAGCTTGGGTCGTATACTTTTACTGGAGAACTTGCGGATACACGATATTCTTCGTTATTCCCTTTGGCGCGAGCACGAACAGATTGGATGGTTTGCCGACGCGTGAGCATGCGACGTATAGTTGCCCGTGTGAAAAGCAGTGATTTGTCTTTAATCCGCATACATGCAGTGATTGCCCTTGTGCTTTATTAATTGTCATTGCGAATGCTAAGCGTACGGGGAATTGCAAGCGTTTGAATTCGAATGGCATATCGGTTGGTATGATTGGAATATTGGGCAAGAACACGCTTTCTCCTTCATATTTCCCGCTCAGAATTGTGGCTTCAATGACATTACTCATCAAACTCTTGACCGCGAGCCTCGTTCCGTTACATAATCGTGGAGGATTTATGTTTCGAAGTAGGATTATAGGCACGCCAACCATGAGGGCCAAAATTTTCACGACGATCGGGTCAGCCGTTTCCGAGTCTATAGGGTACCCCGGACAGACAGACAAACAAACAGACAGACATACGTCTTTATACAGTACTAGTGCTCCCGGTCGCCGCTTCGCGGCGACTCGGCATCGCTAGACTCACTACACATGCGTTTGCTCCGAGTGCGCTGCCTCCGGGTGCGCTGGCTCCGACTGCGCTGGCTCCGACTGCGCTGGCTGCGGGTGCGCTTGCTTCGGGCGCGCGAGCTCTGGGTGCGCGTCCCGTTTCCCCGCTTTCCCGCTCCCCCGCTTTCCCGTTTCCCAGCTTCCCCGTTTCCCAACTTTCCCGTTTCCCAGCTTTCCCGTTTCCAAGCTTTCCCGTTTCCCTGCTTTCCCGTTTCCCTGCTCCCTCGTTATCCAGCTCTTCTGTCTGCCCGCTCCCCCGTTTCCCCCG